TACTAGCTTTAGTCATAAATCTAGACGGTTTTTATTTTTATGGCCAGAAGCGGAAACGTGAGTCGCCGTTTTGTGGCTACATATATTTTTTTCAGGGGGCAGGAGCTGTAATAGATGCACTTAAACTGTCACTTCACCATTCGCAGACCAGACAGAGTTTTTCTGCTTTTCTGACATTGACTTTGACACTCGCGAAGTCGACAAACCAAACACAGAAAACCCAAACCCAACGACAGGATAATATGCAAATCCCCGTGGCTCTTTAATTTTTTCACTATTTGCATGCCATGTTTGTCTGCGCTGTCTGGCTGGCAAATAAAACTCATCAGGCCAGTTGACAACTCATTAGCTGAGGCATTCATGGAGGGCCAGGCCTTTTTCGGGGGGAGGATAAGGAAGAGGAGGATCCCTGGTTTAACCACCTCCTTCGCGTCCTCGTACAATGAACTCATTTCGGACAAAGTACTGGCCTGCAACTTGGACTGCTCGTATTTGCTACTTTTGTTGTCTGACAAGCGCTCATAAATCTGCAGCTGCAGCTGGTCCAAATACTTGGAAAAATATACTTGGAATATTATTATTGGAATTAAATAACTAAAAAAAAATTATGATCTTTTACAAAAATTAACATTGGAAATATATCTAAAGAACTACAAATAAATACCATCCTCAGCAAGTAAGATTATTGTAAAAAAAACGTATTTAAAGGTGATTACATGTCAGTTAAATTAAATTGAATTTTTTGAGCAATTTTTGTATGTTTTCTTCTAAGTGAATTTGAAGAAAGTAATATTTTAAAAGATTCCTTTCGGGAATAATTTTTGTTTGGTAATTTATTATCATTCAAATCGGGTGAAAGATTTAATCTTTAGAAATTTCTTATTTTACTTTTAATTATTGAAAATATTTGATGGAATTTTCTTTGTTTTAAGTAAACCTACATTGTAATATTTTCCTCTGTGCATCTTGCAGCGAATGCAAAGTGGAGATGCCTCGTCCCCACTGTCCTCCATCTGCATCTCCTCCTCCCGATACCGAACTCCATCTTCCAGCAGCTGAAAGCAACTCTTTGTGCCTGGGCCTGCTGGTTTGGCTCCTTTGTCTGTCTGCCCTGTCATAGATATCATCATTGGGCATTTATTATTTCAGTCCTCTCGGTTCGGTTGTGCATCTTCGTGTGCCTGGTTATTCAATTTCCTTTGTATGTTCCAAGCAGCAGCCTCCTTGGCATACGGAATACGGAATAGGAATACGTAGTATTCAGGCCACACCGCCACTTGCTATCGCGTAGTATTGATTTCTGGGAGACAGAGTGACAAACAATGAGCTGTTTTCCTTTGATATATTGAATTGCATTGTTTGGCCCTGGCTGTCAGTGCATTGCCATTTCCATCCTCCATCTCCATCCGGAGCTGCAAACTCCCAGCCAACTTGCATCCAACTCCCAGACCCCCAATCATCCCATCTTGGCTGTCGACTGTCGCTTGTCAGTCAATCAATTAGACACCTGTTGCTCGGTGCTCACTGCTCAAGCTTCTATGCGAAAAGCGAGACAGCTGACATTAACTGGCGAACCTCCATAAATCTAATCACATCAAAATGTCGATTTAGTGAACATTTTAAAAGTCAATAAAGTAAATAATTTTAGAGATTTATTTGAGAGTTTAAAACACATTTTTGCGGTAAATATCCTCAATATGAAAGAAGTTTCAGTGTCATAAAAAATTTGTATTTTTGTTTAATTTTAACTTTTTTAAAATTCAATACACTGGATTATTTACATTTTTATTGATTTATTTTTGAGTTTTAAATAAATATTTTAGATTTTACTTTTCACAAAAAATAAAGATAGTTACTTAACATTAGTCCTTTTTTATTTGAGTTTTGAAAAATATTCATGCTAATAAAAAAATCCTTTTTTAGTTTAAGTTGCTTATTAAATCATTACATGTTTAATGCTTTCACCAATAAACAGAACAGGATTTTTACTGACTTTACGATGATGGATCGCTTAACCATTTTAATGGCAGGTAATTTCCTAAATGACTCACTCTCTCTTTCTAAACCCAAAGGAAGCTTCCATCCACTTCCTTCCCCAGTTTCCTGCGACTCAGCTTCCATCTGCCATCATCGTCATCGGCATCCTCTCGCCATATACTGTTAATCGATTATTAATGACTTTGGCGCAATTAAGTAACAAACAAAGCAAAAATCGCTTCATCGGGGCAGCAGCAACATGCCATTACCCATTAACAGGCGGCACCACAAGACAACAGGGGGCGGAGGAAAAGGGGGCGTGGTCGGGGTACTGGGCTCTGTGTTCACTGACAGTAAAAGTTGCAACTTGCAATGTGCAACAGGTTGCAAGTCCAGAAATCTTAGGAAAAATCAACATGCAAAACCAAAAACAACTTACGCCTTAAAATGTGAAAATGCGAATGACCCGAATACACCGACACATAGATACATACACCCATACAGTTGAGCTGAAATTGATAGCATACACGGCGCATGCGCAACACGCCAAAAAGCCTTAAAAGGCACCAAAGGCAACAACACCAACAACTTCGATGACGACGGGCGACGATTTCCTTTTCTGCGCTTTCAGTTGTTGTTTTTTTTTGTATTTTTCAGCTCCAGGCAAACTAGTTTTACGTACAGTTGGTTAAATACCCTATAAACGTATGGTAAACAAGGGTATATCCAGTTAATGGGCACCTTAAAACGTTTGAGCCTTAAGGATAAATAAAGTAAATATGCCTAACAATGTCAAAAAATGTTGTAAAAGTATATATTGTAACTAAAGAAATATATTTAATAAATAATAATTAAAATTTTTAGTGCCATTACAAAATATTATGAATTAAATTTCTTTTTAATTGTTTTTAAATCTCTAGAAAGTTATTTTTCTTTCTTCACAAAACACAACAAACTTCATGATCATAAAAATACTTGAAAATTCTATAAAATATATGTATTAAAATTAAAGATTCATTTTCTTTCCCCCACAAAATAACATAAATAAATATTCACGAAAATCCGATAATTTATACAGGATGTAATGAATTCGTTGCCTCAATTACTTAAAAGCCGCATTTTTTCTTAACTTTTGTTTTTGGCGACAACGATGCCGCCATCGCACTTGCAACTTTTGCCTTAATTGGCCAGGCTGTCAGGCCAGCCTGCTTCGTTTTGGCATAGGCAATTTTCATTTATTTATGCAAAGCATTTGCAAATATTTATTGAGCATTTTTCAACTCTCACGTTGCATTAACACATTTCCCCCAATTTTCTGTCTGTCTCTGTGCCCCAATGAAAATGAAAAGTTCACGTTTTTCGTCCGAAGGAAAACTCGTTTCGATTGGTTATGCATAACGTTGACAAGCCTCAGATTTTTGTTTATTTTTGTTGGCTTTTTTCTATTTTTTTCGCCATGCTTGAGTGGGTTAGAGCCAGAGTCTCAGAGACTGAGGCTCAATGAAGCGCGTAAATTGTGCCGTCAATGTGGGTTAGGAATGGAGTTCTGTAGCTCACATGAGTAGGTGATTAATTCCTCACATTTCAACATCAACGATATCAGATGAAAGCTTCCAGAGTTGAGTAATGATCAACTCCATTTCGTTTCTATGAAGTGGAAAAATTAATTAACTAAAAGGAAGCTTAGTAATTGAAATTTACTGCTTATAAATTACAATCTTTATCACCTTTACCATCTTAAACTTAATCAACACTCCCCTTCACATTCCTTTTCGATTTTCACCGGCAATTATCACAGAACCCACGTCGTAAACACCCAACTACAAGTTGCATTTTAATTAGTTTTGCAGCAAAAGTAAATTAGAAGTCACTCCCCTTCCATCGTCGGCAATAAAACGCATCCCAGATTGACGTAATCGCATTCCGGGAATTACACATAAGTGGCATATTCCCCATACTCCTAAGATTTCTCGGTTCTTGCTAGGTCCATAAAAAAACTAGCGTCGAATGCCACGCCAATTGTGCTAATAAATGAGCCACTTGCTCTCCAGCCAACAGGTGTTTCTGTTTCCAGTGTTTCTTCTATGGCCATGTCTTTGTTTTCCCTCGAATCTTGTTCTTTTTTTCTTCTGTCTTTTCAAAACCCTAGAAGGCGGAGGCATTCACAGGGAAAAGCCGACTTGGCCATCGACTTAAAAGGGAAAGAAGCAAATCAGAGGCAAAAAAAACAAAAACCCGAAAGCCATAAAAGCCAAACGTGTTCTTTTGATTGGTAAAAAGAGGCAGGGGGTTTGGGGATTGGCACCCAAAGGCGGCCAGCTTCAATGGCTTATGACCATTCTCCAGCTTTTGGTCAGGTCTTCTGTGCTGCTCTTCCACTTTGATTTTCATTGCCATAAATGGCATAATAATTTCTGTATCTCAAGATCTAAGATCTCGTTGAGTTATTTCGCATTTAGCTCATTATTGGCTTAAATAATTTCTTCATACGATGTCGATTAATCAAAAGTGTTTCCGTCTTGAGGTGTCGAAAACGGAAGAGCCTCGGGTTGTGGAGTTTAAGATCTCTTTCTTTTGGAACTCATTAATCATGATCTTAAGTTGTGGTATTTGAAAGAGGGGCGAGAGAAGTTTTAAGAGTTTATAAATACTACAACAACATTATAAAGTAGGGTTGCTAGAGCAATCGGTAGATGTATCGATATTTTCAATTATTTGTTTTAATTTTTTAGTAATTTGCTTTCAGTTTTTCTTACTTTGTAATTTGTGGTTGATATTTTTAAAATTTCCGATAGTAACGATAATATCGATAGTCGCTAGTTCTCATACCATTTTTCTACTTTAAAGGTTAAAACACTTAAAACCCTTTCAACTGACACAAGTAAATTTCCAGGACTTCCCTTTTTGCCTGTCTAAATATTTTGCTAATTCCTTCCTCTTTTTTCGTTTGCCATTTGCGAAATTCAATCCTTCAACCCCTTTTTGCAGGGTTAATTTATTTGCCTGAAGCCCAAAGGGTTGAATTTCAAGTTGTGCAAATGCTTGCTTTAATTACGTAGCCGCTTCTTGAGAAAGTTGTACACTTTGGCGGGCATTAGTTTAACAAATTCAAAAGCTGCTTGAACTGATCGTCCAGGTTTAAAGGCGTCTCGGTGGTGGTCGGTGGTTCGGTGGGTGCCTCCGTGGTCGTGGTGGTGGTGGTGGTGGTGCTAGTTGTGGAGGTCGTAGTTGTGGGCTTAGGCATGGGCTTCGGCTGCACACGTCCGTCCAAACAGGCCTGCAGGTGGTTGTAGTTCTTGGCCGTGGACTCCACGTAGTTTTTCTCCGCCTTGCGGCGACACTGGTCGTGCTGAAGTTCCACCACTCGGTAGCGTTCCTCCAGCAAACTGGCCGATTCGGAGGCATTGCCCGAGATGCTGTACGTGGAGACGGTGTTGTTGGAGCCCTGGAATATAAGGGATTTATTATAATATAATTCTAGGAACTTTAAATATTTTTATGAAATTGGAAAGGACAAACTAGGATTTATATTTACAAAATAATTCCAACTGATCTAAGCGAATTTTTGGTTTTAAAGAGTCTTAAATATTATTGTGAAAAAATTACTAGATAATTAAATACAAAAAAAATATTTTTCCAACGAAAATCGAATGCAATAGAGTTTAACTTCCATAACTCGAGGGAAAGGCGGTTTTGAGTCAATGGATCAAATTATGAAAGATCCCAGATAAGAAGATACTAATTTATTTAGACTTCACTCACCACATTCGCATGGCATTTGAAGGAGGCGAGGGTGCTGTTGATGCCATTGCAAGCGCTGAGCTCCTGGCAAACCCTCTCGGAGGAGAGTCGGATGGTCCTGCGAGTGGCCAGGAAATCGGCATCAATGCCCCTCCTTGAGTTCGTCGAGGTCTTAAGACAATTGGTGAAGTTGTTACTGTACAGTTCGGCGATCAGGTTGGATTCACCGATGTAGCCACCGAAACAGGCCACCGAGGCGAAGGGATCGCGATGGGTGACCCGGGAATTGAGGAACAACCGGGTGAGGCCATCCTGGGTGGGCAGACCCACGTAGGGAGGCAGAGGCCTGCTGATTCCTTCGGCAGGAGATAGAGCCACCAAAGCAATCAGTAGCAGCGAGGCTAGCACTTTCGTAGACTCCATTGCAGATATTCCAAAAATAATAACCTATCAGAACTGAAGACAGAAGCTCTTTTGACGCACTGCCTCCGGCGGAGGCCTCTTTTATATGTGCAAACCCGATGCGGCTGACAGGCGGCGATGATAAGAGACGTTATGTGATTTCCTTTCGCGATGCTCTTATCTGTTTTTGCAAAACTTTTCTATTACCCTGGCGCATTATCTTTTGGCCAAACGATAAACCATAGATAAACACGAGAGCTCTACTAAGTCTGATTGAATTGGGATCGCGGAAAATATACAGTTTCCGAGAAATGCATTCCTTTCTTTCATTTGCAAGATAGAACCTATGTTTCATATTTTATATGACGCTCGAGGAAGCTCTAAATCTCCATGAGGAATAGCTTTTCACGGTGTGAACGCCTCCTAAGTAGCTGGTTAATATTGGCCCAAGGTAAATACAGTATTTTACGTTGATAAACTCGGGATTCTTTATGACGCGCCACGCTCATCCGCTGTTCAAATACCTTTTGTTTGGGGGCCTAATTTTATAATCACCGCAAATATTGGAGTAATCTTTTTGTGGCTAAGCCGTGTGAGTCGCATTGCGTTTAAGGGGTTGTAATAGAAGGCGAATGAGTAAGCGGTTTATTTATAAACAATCAACAGGTTTTGTCACCCTTCGAGTTACTTTCAAGATTTATTTTTTACAATAATTATTTACATTTATCATGGAAAGAAGAAATAATATAAAATATCCTATAAATCCCAAAAATAAACATAGTTTATTACAAAAAAGTCTTTATTTTAATAATCAACACGTTCTTAAGTACTTAATGATTAGATAATAAAGTCTTACTATACTATATATCACGAATATCCCAGTTACCCTAAACCGAAACCCTAAAACATTTTGAGTGTTAGTTTGTATTATGACTTTCTGGGTCTCAGACCCACATTGATGCCCGAAGCTGAGCGCAGGATAAAGTTCATCATGGGCTTGAGTTCCTCGCCCAAAGGCAGAAGCTCGTAGAATCTCAGGACCTTGCTGATCAGGGATTTCATTTCCAGAACGGCAAACTTCTGACCAATGCAGTTTTTGGGTCCGGCGCTAAAGGGAACATAGGAAAAGTTCTGATGGTTTTCTTCATGATCATCCAAAAATCTTTCTGGTTTGAAGCTTAGAGGATCGGGAAAGTAATCCGGATCTCGATGGGCGTAGTATAGAACTAGGTAAATGCTGGTATTTGGAGGAATGGTTTTGTCACCAATTTTCAGTTCCTTTTGGGTGTGTCTCCCAACCGCCGGAACTGGAGGATAAAGCCGCATGGTCTCTTTGATAACACAATCTAGGTACTTGAGTTCCTGCAACTGAGATTGACTAACTGGAGCGTTGGGATCTTTACCAAGAACCTCCAGTAACTCTTCGTAAATCCTTTCCTGAACTTTGGGATGCCTGGCAATGGCATAGAGGGCATGGGAAACTCCACTACTGGTGGTATCATCGCCCTCGAACATGAAAGTATCCACCTCCTCGCGAATATCCGCATCGTTTAGGGGCTCATTATTGATGGTCGACTGGAGGAGAATGTCCAGCAAAGCCATTTGGGATTTCCTGCCAATTTCAGCATCGCCCAGACCTGCAAAAGAGATTAGGTAAAAGTTAGATTTATAACTTCCTGGTGATTCAGTGATTCAGTGCACCCACTCAGCGGTCGGTATGAGCCGTCAGCCTTCGCCCGCTCCACAGTTTCTCGCCGCTCGCGGATGACCTTGTCGGTGAAGTCGTGCATGACGCGTATATCGCTCAGTAGTCGTCGGTGCAACAGAGGTGCCGCCAGCGGGAAAAGCCAATCGTAGCGCTGCGAGAACTTGTACATGCGATCCGGTTGGATATAGACCACACTATAGAAAAAGAAGGGAGTGGGAAAGTGTTAAAAGGAACTTTGTCCATTATAATAGCGTTATAAACCCACCTCTTTAGCGCCTTTATGTAGGGAAAATCGGGGTCGTTCTGGGCATTCACCTGGACTCCCATGGCGGCCTCTGCAAGTGGGTTCAATAAATCAATACTCAGCATAAGAAATGAAAGGTGAAGGTACTTAATAATAATAATATATGACAAGCAATTGGATTTATTATGATAGGTCGCAAAATGATATTGTAAAATATTTAAGTAATGTTTAATTATAAAATATATATATTATAATAAATATTATAAGTAACAAGACTTTTTTTGCATTTATTTTACAACCTTATTAAAGAGAATCACAGAAAAAGATTATCTTAGGATTTATTAACTGAACAACCACGTTTTTAAGTAATGGCACTCCATAAATAAATGTCTCATATAAATTTAAAACACAAAAATAAAGAAAGGGAATTCCCAGAATTCTAAGATGAAGAAATTTCACAGTCAAGCCACAAATCTTATTTATTTTTAATGACTTTGTAATATATCTTAGTTAATCCAAAACGACGACTAACCTGTTATCACATCAAGTGCCGCCAGGGACACATACTTAAGCATATCCACCGTTGTTTTTCCATCGGCCAGCTTCCTGAGGCTCTCCACCATCACCCCACTATTCCGATCCATGATCTCCACATAATGTTCGAGAACCTTGAAGTGAAAGGCGTGGGTGAAGATCTTTCTCCTCGCATGCCATTTTCTACCCGTGCTAACGAGTAACCCATCGTTTAGGAAAGGTCGAAGATATTCATAAAGTTGACCCTTTGCCAGCAGGGTGGTGCTGCTTAAGATGGCCTCGAAATACTTGAGATCCTTTGTGTAGATCGAGGATTCGTCCAGGATCCAAAAGCGAAAGGTCTTTCCGTATTCGTCGAACTTTTCGCCCACCCAGCTGATAATGTCTGGACAAATATATTTTATTATTATACGTTTTTCGATTAGATTAGAAAGATCATAATATCATTAAAGGGATTTTTGTTATTATAATCATTAGCTTTATGAACTACCCACTTCGTTTGAATTGTGAAGAAAAGTAATAATCTCAATTTTTTAATCACATGCAATTAGCGGTTTATAATCCTCAGTATTCTGATAAAACAAAAAAGATTTTTTAAATTTCGGAATAAATTCTATATTACTGGACTTTCTATGTAGAATATATTATTTTTCGCATATAACTCACTCTCTGCTCCTAAATTCAAAGCCTGAAGGCCACAGCCCAGGATCGGTATAGAAATGGGCCCAGGTATCTTGGATTTTTCAAAGGCTGCCACTCGCTGCCTTTTGCGTCCAAAGTCCCAGGTCAGGAGCAATATAAGAGCCCCAGTGATCAGGGTCAGCCACATTTTGCACTGCTACTACTACTGGATTGTGACCTTTTGGCGGTGATTAAAGCCAGGGATCAGAGTTGGATGTTTTTTCGATTTGGTTTCACTTTTTTGCGTTGTTGACACCGCCGCTTTTGTAGATCAACTGTTTGGGACGAACGATGATAACCGGCCGCTTGACCAGCCAAGCGCAATTTCGGATTTCAAAACTATATATTGTCTGTAGAATTTGTACGTAGATTCTCTCGCTCTCAGTAAATTACTCTTCTCCGGGGGAACTGGTTTTCTGGTTGAAACATATGAGTTGTATTTTGATTATGAGCTCTCGAGTGTTGCAATTCGGGGCGTGCGATTCGCATTCAAAGCGAGCTTTTCGTTCTGCCAGATAGTCGAAGTGACCATGCCGAGTAAGCAAGTGCTGATATTGAAAGTGTAAAATATATGTACATTAAACATACAGTGAACGATCGTTGGAATGAAATAAATAAAAATCTGGTTAGGATCTGAAAAGAAAAAGTATTCCTTAAATTTTAAATATTGTTTGAAATGCGTGCCAAAATTCTGGATTAAATCTTGGTAATTATTAAAATAATTATAGACTCAGAAATTAAAAATCCTGTTCTGTTTATTCAATATCGTTCTCTTTTTACTACTGTACATTGCACATCTAGTATATTGTTAGCCTAATTAAAATGCAACTCGTTTTTTTGAATTTTTTTATTTGTGCCTCGTAAGCCAGCCACAATTACAAAGCTTTTTAATTCAAAGCAATCATTTCTAAATGGCCCATGGTATTTGTAGTAGTGTATCAATCCACACCGATCGAGCTGTAAGCTCTCACTGCAACAATGTTTTAAGCAATTAAAAGGTAAATTTATGCGCCAGACCAAACCCCTCGAAAATAGCAAATTCGCGACTTCGGGAGGGCTTGGGCACCCAGGAAACGGTAGCATCTTCCGATGAGCAGAACAAGACACTTGTCAAGCCACCAGTCCACCAAGCCCTCCAGTTCCTCCTTCCCTCCATCCCATAGCCACCTTCCCCGCCAGAAAAAACAGCTGTGACAATCGGAGCGAGGCGACAAGACACGAGACCAGACCTCGCGACTGCACTCAGAGAAAAATCAGGCACTGTGAATAATAATTAAAATTATTGCTAAATTTATTTCAACAATTAAATGTTGAATTTTTCAGTTAAATTCAATTTTAATACTCCTTCAAAATAAAATTCTTCTAAAATAAGGCAATTTTTCATAAAAATTTCTCAACATTTTTTTTAATTTATATAAACCTGAAAAAAATGTGTTTTAACTATCAATAAAATATGTTAATTTTTTTTTTGTTATTTTTATAGCCCTTTTCCTATAACAAGATCGGTTTTTTTGATTGTTATTTTAACTGGATAAAACTCTATATTTAAAATAAACATTACCTATTTCATAAGCAGATAAACTGCAACATTTCCAAACTTTATAAATAAATATTCTAAATAACTATTATTTAAAATAATTTTTTTTTACATTTACATTTTAAACTTCTATATTATTATTTTTCTGAGTGCATGAGGTCCCCAGTTGAATGGACTGCGATTGCTGTTCGTAGTTCTGGTTGCCGTTGTTCCCGGTTAACTCGTTGAACTTGGCGGCGCAGAGTTCATTGGAGTTGAAGTAGAAGTAGAAGAGACCCGGGATGATGAGGGTACGGGTACGGGTCTCATGGGTCTAAGAGATGGGCGGGGACAACTCAACTCGAAACACCGGAGACAGTCGTAGCAAGTACATTCACTTGGCGGTCAATTAAGGCACTCGGCGGATGACATCCGCACATGTTCGTGGGCCTGGCCACCAGAAACGCAAACAAGCTATCAAAACGTCGAAAGGCCCAAAGAAGTTTACCTTCTTTTTCCATGACGATGACGCTGTTTTCCTCTGACGCCAGCAGAACGGTAAATGGGAGCGTCACATCGTTAATATATATATATATACTATATATATCTTCCATAGAAGATACCAGATATAAGCAGAAAGAAAAGCAAAACAATCGGCCAAATTGTAGACCAGCTAAAAAGCGTTGACTCACGTTATTCCCAGGGAAACTGAAGCAGAAAGCGGAAGAATTTCATGGTGGAGTAATAAGGGTAATTATGCGGGTCCATTAGATAGACGGGGGGAAATGGTATACTCCTATAGAAAAACTCAATCAATAAGTAAACGCCCCAACTGCAATTCACGGGAAAAGCCGTGACAGGCACGTAGCCAGTACAAACCCATGAGAAATCCCCTTCATAAGATATAGCTAGCCAGATCTTAACCATCATTTCAAGAGCAATTCGATTTAACTCCTTTGTTTTTGCCCTGCCCAAAAAACGCATGTTTCCTGCTTCCGCTGCAGTCAAAACGAGGAGTCACTCAACTGCCATTTACCAATGGCTCCCAAACTCCCGGATTTCCCAAAAATAAACCACCCAATCTTCCCCCTGATTCAACACCACCTCCATAACCTCCATGGCCATTGACATCGAACAAAGAACAGAGGACTGAGTTTTGTTTTGACGCATTTTCGGTGTTACCCCGGCAACCGGCAAACCGAAGAACCGAAAGAATAACATGTCTGGGGATCCCTCAATGGGATGGGTTTTTGGATGTGGGATTTGGGTGGTGAAGGCGCCGAGGAGCTACTCACTGGAGGGTTGCTTCTGTCGACAGCACGTGTCTGGGTTTCTGCGCCTGCTCGTGGAAAAACAAAAGTCAGCTGATTGCAAAAGTCCATCAACAAATGTTGCAGACACAAAAGTTGCTAAAAGTTAACCCTAGAAAGTTTTAAGGAAAAAACAATACAGGTGATTGAAAAATTAAATAAAGTTATAAAATTAATATAGATTTGATGGGTTCAATTTAATGGGTTAAGTTAGCAGTCTTTCAATAAACAAATTGAAAAAATATTTATTAAATTTCTACCTTAATAATATTAAATATAAATAAATATTAAGAAACATTTCAACTATTTCCACTTTGTTTCCAATATTAAAGACAAATTTTTAGTTATTTAAATTCAAAATTTAAAGAGTCAAGAAAATGATTTAATAAATTAAAATTATTCTAATACATCTAATACAGCTAATTCTAAAACAGATATTCAAAATGAAACAAAATATTTTTGCTGACTTTCACGGTTTAGCCATTGCCAAATTTCGATTTCGCAAAGTCAAACCCAAAAACCCGCGACACCTTGAACTTGAGGTGAAATTTTGGCTTTTAACCCAGACAAACAATTAAGCAAGATTTTCAGCTGGCCAAACTGAGTGAAACAAAAGCCTCGAGAGTTGGCAACTACAATACATATTTTTAAACCTGGCGCGGGGTCGGCCTAATGAAATGTCGAATGGGCAGACAAAAGAGCAAAATAGTCGAGCCAAAAGCAAAAAAACAGAAAAAGCGAAAAAGCTGTAAGCCCATGTTGACGTTGTAATTTTGCATCATTACCGCCGCCTTCAACTCGAAAGATCTCCTGGGACTTCAAAAGCGGGTAAACTGCGGCGTGGGAAAGTCAACCCGAAGCGAACTTGAATCTGGCCAACTCTGGGATCTTGGATCTCTGAGATATCTTAGATCTCCTATATCTCCGCTCATTGTCCGGATCTTCATTACCTTTCATTGCTCTCATCAACTTGGCATTTTCGCTTGGCGCCTTCGTGGGTAATTGTCGCTCTTTTGGGCCGCCCAAAAATCGCTGCTCTTGTGAGTTTTTTTGCGAGTCCCATTCGCTTTCTGCCATAATTCATTGCATAAGTCAATTTCTGCTTACCTGGTGATTTATATGACGCGATACATTACCGGCAATTCACCTGAGCTTCATGTGGCGGCACTTAAAAAAAAGTTTAGGTTTTAAATGGCAAAAAGAAAATAATAATTATACATATATTATTGGGTTCGAGCACGAAATATAAGAAATAGGCTTCCAATTAAAAATAGAAACAATTATAAACATTTAAAATCCTTAAAAGTCTAGAGTTCAATACCCACCAAAAGTGTTAAAATACTAAAATCATAGTGTTATAAAAGATGTAAGCAAATCATGACCTCGAGTTCACTAAAATACTTTAAATAATTGTTTGATTAAATATTATTAACTTTTCTTCTTAAATTATGATAAATTTGTTTTATTTCTTGTAATTTATTTTTTTGAGTGCTGCCACACGATCCAATCCAGCTTGATGGCTTTGCCTGATATAATATTTGCGGTTTGCCATCAAGTCTGATGCTTCTGTTGGAAATATATCATGTTTTAGTATTATTAGCTGCGAGATATTATTATTTTTACTTATTTCAGCCTCAACTGCTGGCTGTAACCTTGTTGAAAACCGCTCAAACGCAGACCGTTGCCAATGCCGTTGATTTATTATTGCTTTTATATCTTATACATCTTATATATCTCTCACCGCGAGCACTTGACACAGAGACAATGACAGAGACCCTCTAGAAACGGAGAGTTTTGCATTGCCACAAGTGTTCTTCGCATAATTTATAAAGGTATTTCAGTTTTGCATACATTTTCAACACCTTGAGCGAATCTGTTGGAGTTTACAACTCCATTAGAGACGCAGATTTCGTGTGAGGACCTCATAAAGATCCAAGGCTCGAATGGCGTGCAATTATTTATGCCGCGCCAAATAGTTTATAAAACAATTCATTTTGTTATATCATTAAGTCGCCATAAAGCATAAACTATAAGCCAGCTGCCGCATTGCCAAACTGATCGCGTGATCACTCTCAGTCTCGCTTCGCATTCACTTTTGTCTAGAAAAAAAGAAAAGTTTTAATTACCGCACACTGGGTAATTCAATTACAAAACGCAAGTGAATGATGAGTGGATGGATGATCAACGATCCTTGGGATGGCTTCTAATTATATACAGAAAAATAGTCTATTTTTCGCGGAAACTAAAACTCTCAGCTGTCCGTCTTAAGGAAATAAAGGTGAATAGTTTTCTGCCAAGTTTTTATATTTTTTTTATGGGTGTGTCTTGGCCATATTGACCACCGCACCCAGGAGTTTTGCCACTCAAATTAATTGCTTGCTAAACGCTTTCCAAAGGGCAATTACTGCATTAAAAACTATAGCTATTGGGAAACCGGAGAAGGAGAAGTTCAAGCCCAGGAGGAGCCATTCGCGTGTCTGCCCTCTGACCTACGACTCCTGGTCGTTCAGAAAGATAATCCCCTTCTCACTCCAGAGTGTCTGCAATTTTAGCCATTATTCCATTAGCCAAGCTTTTACTTTGATTTCACGTCTCAGCGGTTGTGGCTAAACTTTGAACTTTACCAATGCCATTTCCATGTGGTTATGCATGGTAATTGAATTCCAGTTTGAGTTTCAATTGGAGTTTTGATTTTGCAGAGGAAGGAATTATTTTAACCAGCTTCAGATAAATCCCTTAACTATTTATTCTTCCTTTCTTTTAGTTGTCATACC